ATGCTCCCATATGACCGGGCGTCTTACATAGCCTCTCCTGAGGAAGTCCTACTCACTGCCTTCACGTGGCGGAGGTGTTTTCACCAAAGTGAGAGGGCGAAAGCGGATGCCCGGCGCTCGTCACCGGGTTGACTGTCCATTGGATGACAGTCTAGGGGAGATGGCTAAACCCAGATTCCAAACCTCCAACGACTGGCGTATGAAGCTCACTGGAGCTCACCGGCAGACGTATGGACAAAGGGCTTGTTGGATGTCCTGGATGTCTGGCCCCATTCAAAAAGGCGTATGAACCGAACTCCGGTCACCGGCTGCCAATGGATAGTGGACTCCCTACTCCACTCCTACTGCCTTGTAGGTCACACTTGGTTGTGTAAAGGCTAGAGCTGCACTCTCAAACAAAAGGCCGAGCGATTCTGGGGACATCACTCGTACCAAATTCCCATGAAACATCATGAACTCTCTTACATGGCTTGGTACAGTCAAGGCTGATATGGAGTGCCTGGGGCTACAAATCGTCTACGGACTCCGTCTGTGGAACAAGAATTGGAAAACCCTGTCGCAAAACCTTGCATCAGATCGCCGCGCCTGGACAGCGGTGATTCGAGATGTTCATAAAGCCGGCTCATCCTCCCGTAGGAGATAGCCGAAGTAAAGTAAAGTAAGTAAGTACATCAATTCATACAATCAGAAAAAATATAATTCCTAAATGAATTTCATCGTAAACGGACACTTGAGATGAGGAGAAGAGAACTAGAGTAAACCTTTTAAATAACGTCTGTTTTTACGGCAGCATACATCGAGGCAGAATTTAAGATAATTCGTAGTATTTGCGATTTTACCATTCACAGCGTGTGTGTGTGTGTGCTGAGTAAATATTTCCCAGTTAGTGTCACTTAGCATGTCTCTATGTTTATGTATATTATCCTGTGAGTAGCATTTCTGTTGGGTTCTTTTGAAAAGGTGTGAGAAGACACTTGAGTGTGACTTGTTTATATTATTTTTGGGCAACACTCGAATAATACAATGATTTGAGTTTATTGTAGAAGCACGTTCGCGTACTTCATATATATTCCAACATCATTTGTGAACACTAAATCCAATGTTTTGTCAAGTCGAATGGCAAAGTTGACAACATATATTTACATGGTCAAGTGATTCAAAGAAGGAACAGTCTCAAGAATTGAAATTACCAGTGACTATAGACAGAGAATTCTTAAGATGAGAAGCAGCAAATATAGTGAATTCATCAGCAAAATCAGATAGATCCGATGCAGCACAACTGGGCGTAACATGAATGTTTGAGATGAAAATGTATTTGTACTGTGACAAGAGTTTAGGAAAACATTCGACAGTTTTTTTAAAATTTCTTTTCGTTCCCAGTGGAACATAGGGCATCAAGTTAAAGGCTTGAAGTTTCGGCAGCAGCGGTGTTTATTTTTACGGGTTTGGGTTGCTAGCTTCATGCTCAACCTTCCCTCTTTATCAGTCTTATTACCGGCTAAGTGAGGTTTGGGAGTGCGTCGGCCGGGGATCGCTGGTGTGGTCGGCGAGTACCCTACCGCTGTGCCACCGACGCACATTTGATAGTAATGCAATCAATAAAGTTACTTGAGAATGCAAAAGGTACATTGTTTGAAATCGACCCCAACTCCTTCTCCGCATTTTTTTTCGGAACAAAGTCAGTCTTGTCTGAATAATGTGGAACCATTTAGTGAGACCATTGTATCACCACAGAGTTCATGGGGCCATGTTTCTTGTAGTTTGATTACAGCCATGTTGTGATTAGTATAAGATGATAGGAGAGATTGCAGATTCATCACTTAGATAATTAGGTACTGGATAGATGTTTCATCCCAGTTTGAAACTCCTCATCAGTAGTCATTGACAACCTTGAGATTAAGAGGTGAGCAATTCATGATTCAGCCGCATGGCTGAAACCCAATGACTTATACATTTTAGCCTATATTCGTTTGCGATACAGCGGGGTGGGATCATAAGAGCTTCCAAAAGGAGAACGAAACAACTTTCCAGTACTCTCTACTGTTTGATTATTCTTTAACAGAAATTGGCTCATGACACAATCTATATCTTAAAGTCATTTTAATCTCTACCAATGCAACACTTTGAAAAAATTAATTATCAGATGTTTATTTGATTGATACAAACCGGTAACCATAATATCAATATTCAGAGCACTTTGACAATAGTTAAGGTTAACTTGTATGATTGATTGTAAGAGGGATAAAAATTTATATTATCAAGTGTTGCTTTGTAGGCATTTGATTGATTAGTTACAGGATTTATCGCGAACTCATCAGATAGAGAACCATTGGAAAACCAGAGTGTACTGGATAACTGTTTCGTCCAGGTAACCAGCAAAAAATCCCTGCAAACCAACTCTTCATAATTAATCGGACGTTCACTAGCGACCGGCTTTATACAGAAAGTTACCTCGAATTCTATTGAGGAGTTGTGAATAGTGCGGTTCACCCATCTTGGCAAGACAGTAGAGTTATCCACAAATGTCGCGCTATATACCTCGAGTTGGCGAAATTTGAAATTAGATCCTGTCTCATTAGCTGAATGATTTATGATCCCGCCTCAAAACCGTAAAGTCATGGGTTGGTAGGTGGTGAGTAATGCTGAAGAGTCCAAAACTGGGACGAAACAGCTATCCAGTGCTCCCTCCTGGTTTACATACAATAGTTTTTGTTTCTGAAATAAGAAAATGTTTTACACATTTTAAGTAAATCTGTAGACAGATTAACTTTTCATATTTTGATACAACTAGACTGATTTTGTGTGTGTGTGTGTTTTTGACTTATTATTACTCTAAGTAACATGATGTGTATATATTTATTTAGAGAATTTACATTGTAGGAGAGATTTATATCAATTTGCCCTTATTATTTGACTGTTATGTCTAGGATTACTATCATTATTATCAGTACTACTATTATTATGACCCAATCCTGATTTCAAAAGTTTTCTGTACATTTATTTCATTCTTGTTTATCTTATGTGATTTTTGGTGCACAATTTTTTAAAATTAGTTAATTTGGAAAATATTGAGACACCATATACAAGTTACAATTACGTACTTTATATGGTAAATTTTGACTTCAGCGTTCATTACTAACATATTTTGAAGTTATACCACAGATTGATATCATCTAGTGAACTCTTGAAAACCGAGGAGAACCGGATAGCTGTTTTGTCGTAGTTTGGGTCTCCTCAGTAGTACGCACCTTACCATAGAACAAATTCACAACCTTGAAATTAAGAAGCGAGGCTGTTGCATTTCAGTGACGTGTGAATTCATAGTACACCGTGATTGTGAGCCACCTAGCGTGGTGGCCACATTACAAACTTGACTGATAGAATTTAGTCTGCACCAAATAGAGTACTAGACACGTTACACTAGTTACTAACTAGTGTCCAATCAAAAATATATATCTCGGTGTTCTAAAATTCTGTTGAAAGTTTTAAACTACTCGTTAGTAGTTAAATTTTGAAAGACTATAATATTCTCTCCGGTAGTTTCAGGTGAACGAAAATGTGGTTCCTCAGATATCCATACTGTTGATTTTTTTAAATATCACTCTCTGATGTTTATTCAAGTCCAACTAATCTTTTTTTTATCATACATTGACCGAAGGTGTAAGGCTTTGCTTGGTTGTGCCATTTTCAAGATTTTACTCTTTGTCCATATTCTATTTCAACTGCTTTTACTTGTGGCGATTATATTGCGTGCGTGAACAAGAAGATTTCCAAACGGCATCAGCAAGCTTTCGTTTGACATTAAATATCTATATTATCTCAGTTTTGTGCAAAACTGTTCCTAAGAGGATTTCAGTAAATAGAAAATTACCACTTACACAGTTAGTAAAATCAGCAAATTGAGTGATGAAATCTCTATCTTCAATTAGTTCCACATCATCGACTCCACTAATCTATAGTTTTTTTTACATCTTAGTAATACTCAATCATGTGCATATTTTAGTCCATAAGAATTATCAGTTTTAGGTACAAGGGGATGAAAATAAGAGCTTAAAGTCCATAAAAACAGTTAAACAGTAGATGTTAGCAACAGGTGGTGTAGATGAAGATGTCAAAGCGGGACAACCAAAGCAGCAAATCAGAACAGACCTTCATTTAACCTGAAATCAGTGTGGAAATTTTCCTCACTAGACATAAAACGAGAACTCGAATCTTCAGTACTCATATCATGCTTCAATGACCTGCTATTGAAGTTTATGTTCCAGCTCATGATGAAATCCTTCATGCAATCAAACAAAATCCCTACAAAACCAATACTTGAAAATTAATCTGATGCTCACTAGTGACTGGCCCTATTCAGGTAGGTAGTTACCTGGGGTTCCAGTGGGAAGTCGTGACTAGTAGGGTACAGCAGGTTGAAGATGAGGCAGTAACTCATCGAAGAAGACATTGGCTAGGGGTCGCGCTATGTCGTGAATTGGCAGAAGTTAGAATTCAAGGACCATTGGATTGGGTTCCAGTGGCTCAATGGTCTACGAGCTCAATGGCCTTGTAGCCAGAAGGTTCCGGGTTCGAACCTTGGCGGTGGGTGCGTACTGCTGGAGGGTACCAAGCTAGGACGAAACAGCTGTCCAGTACTCCCAGGTTTTCCAGTGGTTATCTAACTGATGTCCGCTCATGATGAAATCCTCCATGCAATCAAACAAAATCTCTACAAAACCGATACTTGAAAACCTAAGGGAATAATCAAATCAAGTTAATATTGTGTACCAATCTCTTTTGCCTTCTACTCCGTATCATTTATTCCTGTGACAAAAAAATCTATAGTTATTATAAGAATAATCGATCTGGCTTTATAATATCCCGGTGTATTCCACACCTTTAATTATTATTGATTATTACATTCAGTGCTTTTTTTCTCACTCACATCGTTTCTAATCATACCGTTATTTTCCTTTTCCTAAAAACATTCTTCCCTCGTATTTTTGTTTCCCTTCCAGTGGTTAACTGATTGGCGTTTAAGACTTGTCAAGGAGAAAGCTCGTTTAGTCGGCACCTGTGAAGAATTAAGAGCTTATCTGTTACAAATGTGGAGGAGACTAGATAAACCCGAGTCAGAACAAAAAGAATTTCTTGATGCACATTCTGGTTATAAACCTGAGGATTTAGAAGCACTTCAGGTAAGCCTTCGATGTTCTCGCTCTCACCAACTATCGTGATTTATGTGCTTGATTAATTATATGATGAAACAGTTTTATGATTATGTTGAAAATTTTAATTCTAAATTATAATTTATAAGAATTACCTGGTTATATGTTTGGACAACAGCATTCCCATATCCTAAAATTCTCATTGTCTTCACTATTATTTTGTCGTATATCTAAGAAATGTTTCAATCAGAAGTGACTGACTGACTGGTTTCAACATAGAACTTTGCACCTATGTGTGTCAGTTTGAGTCGCCACACTCCATGTAGCATATATAGCAAGAGAAGAAAGTAAAGAGAAACGAAAAACAGAGACAGTAAACAGAGATATAAGGCAAAAATAATAGTAGTATCAAAGAAGAATATAGTTTTATTGGATATTATAAGTCACAAGGAGTGGATGCATCTACGCCACTGAGAACGACTTTGAACAACATCACCAATTGTCTCCAGCCTTCTTTGGTTACTACCGTCTCGAGGACCCCAACCAGGATGTCTACACCTTCCTACATGGCCGGCTTAAACTGACTGTTGTGGATTTCATTGACTAATAAGGCCATGTTTTGGTTTGACCACTACTGGCTGTTTTCCAACCTGACCCATCCTATGTCAGCTAACATTGCCCGTCAGTCGAGGAAGGCGATGTCTAGGTATGCATGCGTAACACATGTCCTAACCATCTCAATCGATGTAGCTTCACAGCCTTGTCTATTGATTTCCCCTCCTTACCTAGCACTCGACCGATGCCTCACCTCAATATTGCTCACCTTATTATACCACTTCACATAGGAGATAGAACACGGGCACCTATGATCGAAGACAGCTAGCCAGCGTTTTCATGTCTTCCACTCTCAGTGGCCACGTCTCACAGCCAGCCATAAAGGAGGACGCAGTGGACTGTCGAGCAGTACACACGCCCTTCGGTCTATAGCCAGCAGGATATCATGTCTACTAAGCGAGAGACGGCGTAGACTGACATATGCGAAACTAGCCTTCTGTATCCGTGTTAAGATTTTTTCAGCGATCAACCCGTTGGCACTGGCTGATGAAACTTCCCAAATAAGTGAAGTGGTCAACACGTTCCACAAACCACTTCACTCCCTATCTTTAAGCTAGGAGGGCATCGATATAGTCCAGTCCTGTAGCCTCATCTTACATTTGACAGCAGGAGCGAATCTCATGCCAAATATTTGCAGATCTTTTCAACAAAAAAATCGCAAAGTAGATTCTCAAAATTCAATCGATATTCTGATAAATAGAGAGGAAGAGAGAGAGAGAGAGGGAGAAAAGCAATTATGAATTATAACCACTCCATACTCTTTTAAATACAAAGGAATACAGCCAACACATGAATGACTTTATTTGCATTAAAGATAATTATTAAAAGGGAGTAACAATGCCCATTGGACATGAATTTACATCAACTCAGTCTGGTTAAACTGATTTGTGAGTATCTGGAGAAATGTGTTTTTAACAGAAGTGTCTAATGTAATTTAGCTACTCCTGTTTTACGATTTTCATCTCACGTTCAATCATATACATATATCTATAAATAGTTTTTTTTATTCCTTCACGTTCCCAGTGGAACATAGGGCTTCAAGCTGGAGGCTTGAAGTTTCTGTAGCAGTGTTTATTTTTAAAGGATGGGGTTGCTAACCTCATGCCCAACCTTTCCTCTTTATCACCTTTATTACTGGCTTAGCGAGGTCAAGGAGTGCGTTGGCGGCCGGGGATCGAACCGCGGACCACATCCGTGGTTGGTGAGCACTCTACCGCTGTGTCACCGACTCAGCGGTGGTTTGGGAAACAGTTCTGTTTCAAGTTTGATCACAGATTGATGTCAGCTGGAGAGAGAATCAATAAAAATCTGAGAGTACTGTACCACTGGATTCTGACCTAAGTGACTGAATGGTCAATGAGCCTCGCCGCGTTACCTGATGGACTTGGGTTCGATCCCCCATTGAATCATTCGTGAGTACTACTAAAGAGTTCCAAACTAGGACAAAACATCTGTCCAGTACTCATTGATAGTTTTCATTGGTTCTCTAACTGACATCAATCCATAATTGAACTAAACTCTTCAAAATAGTTCTCATTACTAATTGTGACTTTTGTTGTCGCTGAGAATATTTAATTGAATTTTAGATTTTCCCGTCGATTGATCGGACCGAAGTGCTAGGTCTCAGGTTGACATGTCGGGTTCTTGCGCAGATGCTTCGACGATATATGGGCATGTAGTTAGAATTTAACTGGTGGATGGCGACTAGCATTGGAATCCAGGATGCGCATTTCGTCCTGTTTGGGACTCATCATCCGAGTGTACCTGCATTCCCCGGTGAATGATAATGCTCCCACCAAGGCTCGAACCCAGTGCCCATAGTTTCAAACGCCAAAGCGTTATCCACTAGACCACTTGGGTTCGAGCCTTGGTGGGAACATCATCATTCACCGGGGAATGCAGGTACACTCGGATGATGAGTCCAAAATAGGACGAAATGCACATCCTGGATTCCACTGCTTGTCACCATCCACCAGTTAAATAAGTTATTGAGAATAGTTGGAAATTAGAAGCTCCATTGGGTTTCATTTTGCTTTTAACAAACTTCCTTCCTTTCACCAGCTCACAATCAACACTCCCCTTTTTGGATTTATTCAACAGACACAGATCGGATGAAACTTGATTGTCATTCGCTTACAACTCACTTGTAAGTAGTCTGTCACAAACAGCAGATTTCATAGCTTTGTGTTCTTGAAAGTCATTAAACGTAACCACTATTGTGGATGAGTTGTAATCATAAACGGAAATAGTTCTTCTTTATTGCTGTTGTTGTTATTTTTTCCCCTTCTTTTTTAATTACTGAATCATTGAAATATACGTGAATTATCTTCTTTCTATTTTTTTATCTTTAAAGGAGGAAGTTGATCGATGTCAACAGTTGAAATGGGAAAATATGCAAACCTATTTAACGCGTTTAGAAAGTGAAGCACTTCGATTAGCTAATCTATGTTGTGTTGATGAAAAGATTGTTCAATTACCGAATGGTTGTGATAAACGTGATCCTGAAGTTTTAGTAAATCATTTAGAGACTGTATTAGAACAATTAAATCAAACCTATTCATTATATCGTCCTGTATATGAATGTATTGCTGTCTATGAAAATTGTTGGAAACAATTAATTGATGTAGAAGCACGTCTTAAAGATCCATCAATCTTTTTAAATCGTGGTGGTATATTATTAAAAACTGAAAAAGAGAAAAAACGCCTATTAAAAGAAGTTGAACGTACTGAAAAAGAAGCCTTATCAGCTATTGAACAATATGAAGTGAAAAGTTCATCGAATTTTCTCCTGTCTAATGGTAAAACATTTACTGAACATATTAATGAAAGATGGAATAATTATAAAACACTTAAAGAAACATCAAAATCACGTCGTTCAATTATTCCAAACAATAGTAATTCAACTGTTAACAATAATAGTAATAATTCTGGTAGTACAACTCGTCCAACTTCAGCTAATTTAATGGGATCACCTGTAGCTCATACATAGTTAATTAATAATGTTTACATATCGTAGATTCCTACTCACATTATTGATCATTGAACAAACAACAAAAAAGAATACCCGCCAACTTTAATTTCCAACTGTACATACTTAAATGTGTATACGTGTAACTAAACTTTCATTTCAATTTTTAGGCTGTGAAATAATATATGATCATCAAAAACAAAACTTACGATACAATGGATATGAATGTGAATGAATCCATTGTTTAATATTTATAAATTTCTTTTTTTTGTTTAATTATTCTAATTGTCTTACGCTTACTTTCTGTCCTTGTTAGTCATTTTAATTTCATTGGTTAATATTTATTTATATCTTAGTCCTTGAAAAATAATCAATAATTTTACTATCACAAATCACTTAACTTGCTAATGTGATAATTTTTTTGAACTTAAATATATTACGCTGCCTTTTACAACAAACGGAGAAACAACCATCGTCATCATCAACAAGAACAGCATTATTTACCTCATTTTGTTTTATTTTACTTGTCCTGACGTATACTACTAATATACTACTGTTACTACTACTATAATTACTTACGAAAAATATGCAAACAAAAGATTCTTCACATTATGTTCACATAGTCATGGTGTTATTGGGTATAAACAACATGTTTATTTCTATCAGTGTGTGTGTGCATGTGTATGTAATTGAGTGCATCCGTGCATGCTTACGTCTGTTTATGTATGTGTGCGAAAAGTATTGTGCAATATATAAATTTTGTTTTCCTCTGTTTTCAATAATATCACTATCTATTTATATTTTGATCATTAATTATAAGAAAATCCTTTCTGTGTTCTTTCTTTGGTCCGTCCGTCCGTCCGTTTGTTTGTTTGTTCGTTCATTGGCTTCGGTTTTTCTCAGTTGTTATTTCTTTCATTCATGTAGTAGTAATCGCAGATGTGTTGTCTTTTTTCTCTCAATAGCCTAATCATTTATCTATCTGCAGTGAATTTATTGGTTTACCCGCTCATTTTGTTTTTGTCTTTTGAGAAACAACTCGGTATTTGTATACTGCTTTCTGCATTGATACACTTATACTTATTATTATTATTATCATTATTACTAGTAATTATAGAATAGAGTATTATTGGGAGGGTGACTATGGTGTTTGTTTGTATACCATTTGGTTTTGCGATACACACACTGGGTAATCAGTTATATATTTTAATGATTACATAACTATAAAAGATGATTGTCTGTTTATGAAACGATGAGTAATTAGAGTTTTAATAATAATAATAATAGGAACAAGTAGTTTGGTTGTGTTTCCTGGCCGATGACACGCTCTTAAACCTATAAGAATAAAACTTGTGCACTGTGGTAGAGTGTTATTCCATTATGGGTAAATTTTGTTTTGATAAAGTCTCACAGTGCTATACAGTAATGTTTACTGATGACGTTTCCAGCACAATTTATTGCTCATAATCAAATCAAGGTAATCACACGACTTCCTAAATTCATTTATATAGTTCCATTGTTTTTCACTTGATTTGATTGGTAGTAGTATCTTCCATATTTCGGGTGTGAGTGATGATTCATTCCTATTGCATGTGTTGGGTGTAGATTCGATGAAGTAGGCAGGATTCAGTAATCAACCTCTCTCTCCACCTACCTAGATTACTTTTTAGAATTTTAACCCTCTCCCACCCTATTGTGTGGTTGTGTGTTAATGCATGCATTGCAATTGCTGAGGGGACATTGCAAAGAGGGGACAACTGAGATACTACGTAGGATTCGCAATAAAGCAGGAATTAGGGTGGCATTCAAACCTACAAACTCACTCAGGGACAAGCTCTGTAGGTTAAAGGACCCAGTTGACCCAATTAGACAAAATCAATTAATTTACAAAATACTTTTGCAATGACTGTGAGGTCAACTACATAGGTCACACTAGTAGGTCAGGGGTAGTCAGATTGTCAGAATATAAGAATTTAGCTAAGGTTGGAGTGGTTGACCCAGAGAAGATAAGTAATTTAGAAAAAAGCTCAGCAATTGCATTGCCTGCATTAACACGCAATCACACAATAGGGTGGGAGAGGGTTGAAATTCTAAAACGTAATCTAGGTAGGTGGAGAGAGAGGTTGATTACTGAATCCTGCCTACTTCATCGAATCTACACCCAACACATGCAATAGGAATGATTCATCACTCACACCCGAAATATGGAAGATACTACTACCAATCAAATCAAGTGAAAATCAAGCGAAAAACAATGGAACTATATAAATGAATTTAGGAAGTCGTGTGATTACCTTGATTTGATTATGAGCAGCAATAAATTGTGCTGGAAACGTCATCAGTAAGCATCACTGTATAACACTGTGAGACTTTATCAAAATAAAATTTACCCATAATGGAACTCTTAAACCTAGCCTATTTTACCAAATGATATTAAGCCCGAAAACGAGGGAAGGTGTTAGCAAAAGGCTTGCAAAAAAATTCCACCCCATAAAAGAGGACATCACCGTTACAGAAGTCCGTATTGTCCACTCGCGATGCAAAAGAAAAAAATGGTGATTATCCAATTTAACTGAAGACCAATTCCATACTGAATAAGTTTTTTCATCCATATAACACGCAGTGAGTGAGTGATACAGGATTAATAACTGTTGAATGGCGTTTTAAACACAACTGTTTTGCTCATACTGATTCATATATCAGCGTAGCTCACTTTGATGTAGTTGTACTCCCTCCTGATACATTCTAATAAATACCTGGACTTTAATTCATTCCACCTAAAATCTGTAAAAGTAGGTTTACTTAAATGTTTCTACAATCAGGCCAAGAAAGTAATTAGTAAGCTAAAAAAAATTAAATGATGAAATAAAAAAAATTAAGAATTCACTGGCCATTGTATCGGCTCCCAGTGGTTTATAATGGTCTACGAGTTCGCCTTGTAACCAGAAGGTTTTGGGTTAGAACCCTGGTGGTGGTTGCGTACTGCTGGAGGGTCCCACACTAGGGCGAAACAGCTGTCCAGTACTCCCTGCAGGTTTTCCAATGGTTCTCTAACTAATGTCAGCTCATGATGAAAATCCTGTAACCAATCAAATCCCTACATACCAACACTTGAAAGGCCGTGTACTTAGAATTCTTGACAAGCTTGGTATTAGGGTGGCATTTAAACCACTAACTAACTCACTCTGAGACAAACGTTAATGGCTTAAAAACCCAATGGGTTCAATTGATAAAAATAATGTAATTTGCCAAATACCATGCCGCAATGACTGTGAAGTCAATGATATCGGTTGAACTAGTAGATTGGGGTGAACGATATTATCAGAACATCGGAAATTAGGTAGATCTAGCATGGTTGACCCTGATTAGTTAAGTAATCTAGAAGAAATGTTCAACAGTTACAGTGTAATCACAAAATAGGGTGGGGCAGGGTGAAAGTATTAATAAGTAATCTAGTTAGGTGGAGAGACAGAGAGGTTAGTCACTGAATCTCTGTTCATTAAATCAACACTAAACATGTTCAAATGAAGTTGCGCGACACCATTAACGAATATATATAAATCTATAATAAATAACAAATGGGAGAGAGAAAAAATATATGTATACTATGAATTATGTAACTGTGTGAATGCATTGATGTGATTATGATTGGCAATAAATTGTACTTGAAACGTCATCCAGTATGTCACTGCGTGTTAGTTATATCAAATAAACTTATTTAATGCGGAAATATATTTTGCTACAGTAGGAAAATTCTGTTGAGCAGTAATTTTCGAATATTTGGTATGTGATTCGCTCGCGTCGAATGTAAGATGATGCTACAGGACTGGAATACATCGACGCACTCCTAGCTTAGAAATTGGAAGTGAAGTGGTAGGGCGTGTTGACCGCTTCATTTATTTTGGAAGTTGCATTAGCCCCAACGAGTTGATCTCTGGCAAAATCTTAGCACGAATACAGAAGGCTCGTTTCGTATGTGCCAGCTTATGCCATCTCTGTCTTGATGATATCCGACTGGCTGTCGACCAAAGGATGGGTGAACTGCTCAACAGTTCGCTCCGTCCTCCTTTTGCAGCTGGCTGTGAAATATGACCATTTGGAGTGGAAGACATGAAAGGCTGGTTAGCTGTCTTCGATCATAGGTGTCTGTATTCTCTCGTGTTTGATGATATAATAGGGTGAGCAATATCGAGGTTAGGCGTAGAGTGCTAAGTAGGCTGGAGAGGAAATCTGTCGACGAAGTTGTGAAGATACGTTAATTGAGTAAGATGATTGATACATGTGTTACGCATGCCTAGCAACGGTCAAATCGAATCATGGCATCAGTCAATGAAATCCACAATAGTTAGTTTAAGGCAATCACGTAGGGTGGTGTATACTGGCCTCTTGGTTGGGGTCCTCGGGATGTTAAAAATCAGTGACTGGAGACGATCGGTGATATGGCTCGAAACCGTTGTCAATCGCGTAGATGCATTCACCCTTTGTGATCTATTATTATTATTTCCTTTAATTCCTAGAGGAACATAGGGCTTCAACTACACGTCTCCACTTGCTTCTGTATTCTGCTGTACTTTTCACGAGCATCCATGTTAATCCATACTGTTTCAACTCCTCCTCCATGTCACCCTTCGACGTCCACCTCGCCGCTTCCCTTTCGGGTTCCACTCGAGGAATCGCCTGACGCGCGATGTCACCCACCGGCCTCCTCAGTGAGTGTCCAATCCATCTCCACTTTCTCCTGCATATTTGTTGTTTGGCGATTGGTTCTTGTTTTGTTTCTTCCCATAGTTTCTTGTTGGTTCTTGTTCTTTCTGGCCATATGATCTTCAGTATAGAGCGAAGACAGTTGTTGATAAAGGTCTGCAACAGGCTGTTGGAAATATTCTTTGTGACCCGCCGCCAAGTTTCTGATCCATCCGTATAGAGGAACTGACTAACTTGACTTCGTTTGTATTGAAAATCCAAATTTTGTTGCTGAGTGACGAAGATTTCCAGATTGGTTTCAGGTTGATGAATGTGTT